CCAAACACAGTAACAACAAAGTCTCCAATGGAGACGTTACTAGGCCCGCTCAAGCAAATCGATGAACAATAGGAGGACAGTGACAGTGACACCCTGAAATAGTTACAAGCTTTCATGTTTGGGTTACAATCACAATGATCAAACACCCATCCCTCCACCAGTGCACATTCCCCACCGCCAATATCTCCGGTATACCTCCCCTTTTCCACCTTCCCCCTGCCTCCATGGCAGACATGATTCCCCCATAATCTCTCTCTACTTTTGGGCATTATGGTTTGCAATACAGACCCTGGGAGGTTATCATGTTTGGCTTTTTATCTACTTTCTGCACACATCTCCCATCCCAACTGATAGTCACTCCTTTCTCTGTGCCCAGAGGTTACTCCTGGTGGGGCTTGGGGAACTGTATATGGTGCTGGGAATCAAGATGGAGTTATGTGCATTCAAGGTGATCTCCTTAACCCCTGTAATATCTGGTTCAAATAAAATATTGGGGTTTTTTTTGGTGGGGAACGTCGGGGCCACACCTGACAGTGCTCAGGTGCTTACTCCTGGCTCTGCACTCAGGGATCACTCCTGCCTAGCTCAAGGGACCATATGGGTTGCCAGAGATCCAACCTGGGTCATCCATGTGCAAGGCAAGCATCTTACTTACTGTACTGTATCTTTGCATGCACCCCCTCCATGACATGTTCTTAAGAAAATAATATATTATATATATTATATAATAATATATATAATATATTATATCCATAATCCACCAAAATTTACTTTTCTAGTAACTAAGCATTAAGAGACTAAGTAACTAAGTGTTCAAAGTGCCCCTTTTAGTTAAATTGACAGAATTATCATCCACCTAACTCAGAGGTCACTCTAAGAAGTACTGACTGGACTGACTCTGGAAGAAGTTGGTAATACAGGAGGATTCTCGCTTTTATCCTCCCATGTACACATTGAAAATATAGCTGCTCATGTAGTAATTGCCTCCCAAGAGAAGCCTGGAATTTAACAAAGTGATTCTAATGTATGTGGTAAAAAAGAATATATGTATATCATAGTAGGTAGGAATAGAGGAATAGCTAAAGTAACCTCTCACTATAAAAACAATCGCTGGCCTAGCCCCTTACAATCAGGACGAAATCTCTAACTCCAGACTCTCCGAGGAGAAACAGGTTTGGACTACAATTGAATTCCCTAATTTTTAGGCTTCCTGTCTGAGTAACAGCTCCCGAAACACTTAATTTTGTGAATGAAATAGTTTGAACTCAAGTCCCACAGGCTTACAGCAATAAAGATGCAGTCCTTAATGGGCTTTTTAATACACCAATTGATAGAGTACTTCCCACAGGCTCTTGACAGTGTTTTAGAGGCTAGAAGTCCAGTTTCAAGTTTAGTTTTAGTGTAAGCCTTCTCTTTGGGTCTTGTTGAGGTCTGTCTTCTTCCTCTGTGTCAATATTTTTCCCTCTCTATGTCAGTATTGGTGCTCACGGGCGCCACCTGGTGGTGCTCAGGATCATATGCAGTGCTAGTTTTGAAACCAGGGTTGTAACTGCAACTGCATGCTAACTAAGCAAGCCCTTTAACCTTGTACAATGTCTCTGAGTCCTATGTCTGTATTCTAATCTTAATCTCTTCTTGGGGTGGGGGAGGCACATCTGATGAAGCCCAGAGGCTACTCCCAGCATGGTGCTAGGGATTGCTCCCCTATCTTACTCAGGAACCATGTGGTGCCAGGTTTTAAACCCAAGCCTCCCACATGGGAAGTGCACATTCCAATCCTTTGAGCTATATGTGTTTTTTTCTATTTTTATTTAGACACTATGATTGACAAAATTTGTTTTTATTTAGACACCATGATTTGACAATGTTTTTGACAATTGGCATGAATCGTTTCCACCTCCAGTCTCACCACCAGTGAACATAGATTCCTTATCACCCCCAACCTTACTCCTTAACAGACTCATTTTTAAGTTTAATTATTATTATTTGCATCCCTGCGTATGGTAGCACTGGGTTTAGTGGTTTAGATATATACCAGTACCTCACCACTACAGCTCAGACAAGCCCAAAACCCTGATACTTATCCCTGTGTTACTCCCTGAATCCCTTATCTTGCTTCCCCCTCTATTTCTCTACTTTCCTGGCATTTTTGTTTCTGTAATCTAGGGACACTGGTTTACCTACCTTTGATACTATCCATTCCCTAGACATACTATTCTGTATACCTCAGATTAGTAAGAACATCCAGTATTTATTTGTCCTTGTTCATATATATATATATATATAATATTTTTATAAAGAATGTTTTCCCCTTTTTCCTCTCTTTGTTATTGCTGCAAGGACTGGCAGTTACATACTTTAGTTGTTGTGTTCAGATACACTTGGTTGCAGTATGCCATAGTGCCATTTTATTGTGGCACTGAGCGTGTGGAGTGGTACCGGAGATCAAACTCAAGGCCTTGCTCATGCCAAGCAGGCTCTCTATCCCAGGCCCCTGGAGATTGCACACATGAGATTGCACACTTTGGTTGCTATACCTGGCATCACCTGGGTAACACTTGGCATGCAAGGTAGTTCTGTAGATCAAACTTAAGGCCTCCTGCCTATAAAGCAGGTACTCTACCACTGATTGATCTTAGGGATCCAGATTAGAGATCATTTTTAGTTTTGGTTTTATTCCCTTCCCCACTTTCCCTTTCTCCCCCTTTCTTCATTCCCTTTCTTTTTGTTACTGTGGGGATCACACCAAACAGTGCTTATGAGCTACCAGAGTCACTTCAACAATGCTAGTAGGCATGTGGTGCCGGTGTTCAAACTCAGGGCCTCACCCCTCCAAGGCATGTATTCGACCACTTAAGACATGTCCCTTACCCTAGTTTTTTCTACTTTTCTTTTTAGCGGTGCCAGGGATTGAACCCAGAGTCTCACACATGCAAGGCAAGTGCTCTACTGCTGAGCTACATACCCGGGCCCTAGTTCTTCTACTTTCTGTGTTCTCATTTGTCTGTACTGAGCATGTATTACTTTATAATTTTTTAAAGTCATTTAAGCATTTTTAAAAGAATACAAGAAATGGATGTTTAAGGCGAAAAAGACTCCTGGAATCATTATTAGAAGAACTATGGTAAGGAGTTGATGAAATGTGAATCATTATTAAACAGGAAGTTGTATTTTATTTAATGGGGCAGCCTATTTAACTATGTCTCCTGGCAGTTTGTGATCATTGGACTGTCAGCGGGATGTAATTGTAGTCTTAGGAGTGCTTGCAAAAGGACAGTGCATCTGTGTTGCTGCTCCATTTCTGTGGTTGACAGCAAGACATTTTTATAAGCTGTGAAGCTCTAGGAAAGCAGTGGTGTTTATAGATTTTAAAAACATATTTTCAAAATCTACCCTGTGGCCACTGTCCTAATTCGACCCTTATTTTTCTTTCTTAAATATACTGGTTTTTCCTGCCTTCACCCTTTTCAAGTAATTTTGACAGTATTACCCAGCATTCTCCTTCTAAGCACTTGTTACATCATGTTATTTTTCCTTTTTAGGAAACTGAGTTGGCTTTCCATCACCTTAGAATGTCTGGACTTTTTGTTTGTTTTTGTTTGGGGGCCATATCTGGAAGTGTTCAGGAGTCACTCCCAAGAATGCTCAGTGGACCATGTGGTACTGGGGATCAAACCCAGGGTTTCTGCATGCAGAGCATTGCTCCAGCCTTTTCACTGTTTACCCAGCCCAGAATGTCTGAAGTTTAAAACCAAATTTAAGGCTATTAATTATAAAGTACCTTTGCACCCTAAACTTATCTCCATGTCCTTTCTCCCCCATCCTCCTCTCCTACTTATCCTTTCTAAATACGCAAGGCTTAAGCTAACACTTCCTATTTTTTGCTTGTTTGGGTCTACCAGTGGTGTTCAGGGCTTACTCCTGAGCTCTGTGCACAGAGGTCACTCCTGGCAGGCCTCAGGGGACCATATTGGATGCTGGGAACTGAACCTGGGTTTGCCACATGGACGAAAAGCACCCTACACACTGTATTATCTCTCCAGCCTCGATACTTTATATTTTTGTTAGCTTAAAAGAAGCCTTTGTACCAACAAAGTATTTTGTATTTGGTTCTACTGTTTACAGGTGGCTGAATAACCTTTAATGTATTATTTTAATGTCTTTAACTCTTAGTTTGTCCACTCATTTATTCGTCTTCATAATGTTAATACCTCACAGATTTGTTAGGATTCATTCAGATAATGAGTACAAAAACATGTTGCAAACTAAATGCATAGCACACATGTATGCCATTATTTTCTACCTACCTCTGTCAGGATGCTTTTGACTTCAAATAACAGAAATCCAACTGAAAATGGCTTAAACATTGAGGAAACAAGTTTGGAGGTAAGGCGGCTCCAGGGTTGGATAATTTAACAGCTTTGTCATCAGGAATGCAAAATCTAATAGACATCCTCCTGCTTTGATATCTCTTATTTCTTTTTCTCTTGGATTGGTTCCCCTCAGGGTCTGCAAATGGCTACTACAGTCTTAGGTGTTGCATGCAGACAACAGTGGTCAGAGGCCATTGTTAAAGAGGGGGAAAAGTTCCATTTAGTGTGTCCAAAGGAGAAAATCTTTCTGGAAGCCTCTCCCAATTCCCTTACCACCCTCAATAAACTTTCACTTATGTCTGATTAATAAAAAAAAATGTAGCATATACCCACAGTCATACATGTCATTTTAATTAGCTTAGCCCAATCATGATGAATCCCTGGTTTACTGAAGGAAGGAGCATATACAGAGAAAAGTGCAAAATAGGTGTTCCATTAATGAGAGAAAAAGTGTAATAACCCAGTATCTTCAGAGATAAGCCTGATGGGTTAGGACAAGGAGTTAAAGTGTTGATAAGGAGAGACTTCAGTATGAAAGGAACTTTGCTTCTGATCGATCAAGATTTCAATCAAGCATCATACAAAATGATGAGAATGGTTTTCACATTTGTCTTTATATTTAAATAGGTATGCGGTGGAGGTGATGAAGACCCTGATGATAAAAATGCACCATTTCGACAAAGGCCATTTTGCAAATATAAAGGACATACAGCTGATCTCCTTGATCTTTCATGGTCCAAAGTAAGAAATTTGAATTTGGCATTAATTCTATGTAAATATAACTTGAGAACGTCAGTGTTTTTTTTTTATAATTTTATTTATTGAATCACCGTGAGAGCAGTTACAAAGCTTTCGGGTCTAAGTCTCAGTCATACAATGAAACACCCATACCTTCACCAGTGCCCATTCTCCACTACCAAAAACCCCAGTATACCCCCATCCCACATCCTCCCCCTACCTGTGGGGCAGATGATTTCCACATTACTCTCTCTCTACTTTTATCACATTCAATATTTTGACACCAAACCCACTATTATTATTTGAGATTTTACCCCAACACTCAGATCTGCTGAAAAGGCAACAGTAGACAATTTGTGTTCTATTTCTGGTTATGAATAACATAATGTCGTGTGACTGCAGTAGGGCCATGTGATTTTGAAATTCCGAATTTTTTTTTAAACATCATGAGGTACAGTTGTAGATTTACAATTTTTTGTGCTTGGGTTTAGATTATACAATGATCAAATACCCATCCCTCCACCAGTGCCCATTTCCCACCACCATGGATAATATCCCTCCCACCCCCATCCCTCCCATCCCACCCTGCCTCTGTGGCAGGGCGATCCCTTGTGTTCTCTCTCTCCTTTTGGGTGTTGTGGTCTGCAAAAGAGACTTTGAGTGGCAAACATGTTCAGTCCATAGAAGGACGTCAGTGTTTTTTTAGTATCATGGTTTTCACTCTCACTCTCAAGTGTTTTATTGTTCCTATATCCTTTGGGAGTTATTTATTTTAAAAGTATTTATTTATTTTAAAAGAAAAATTATCAGATTAAGCTACTAAGAAAACATTGAATATTACTTAATAACTTCCATCTGGATCTGTTTATATACTGGTACTTTTTCCTTCTTTAATAAAGTAATTTTGCAAAGTAAATATCCTGTGAAAAGTGAGTGTGACTTCAGCTACAGTGGTACAAGCTAATCTGTCTAATCAGGACTGCTTTGGGGCTAATTTTTTATAATTCATGAAATTATTCGTTTGGGTTTAACAGTGATATTCCAGGATTCAGTGATATGTCTTCATCTCGTGATTTTACCCCCCTTCAAGCAAAATTGTTTCAGAAGTGGGGAGGCTGTTTTGCTGCTGATCAAATAGCATAGCAGCTGTGAGAAAATATAAAGAGATGTTTTAAATTTTTAAAAGTCTTTGAAGCATGAAGTAATTTGTAGAATTTGTGATACCATTTATCATTAATCAGAGTATTAAATATATTAAGAAGTCGAAGGGGATAATATTTAAAGCTTTGAATTGATAAAAATTAACCACATAAATAAAATATCAAGAGAGCAGTGCTGTGCATGTAATTTAACAATGTCAGGAGAACCTCATGCACCACAGATGTGTCACAAGAAAGACATTGGCAAGTTAAGCTTTCTCTGAGCTCCAGCTTTGAAGCACTCATTACACTTAAGAATTTGTTGTTCTTGTCATACTTGTTTAGCAATTCTGGGTACTGGATCCTTTTCCAGTTCATAAGCATGATGATCAAGTGTTCACATGTTTGTGTGATATGTGCCTTTCTTAAATCTTGTTATACACTTGGCCCTTTATCCATCTGATATAAAGAAAAGAAATTCTGGATGCCATACATAGCTCATCAATCACATTGTCATTCTCTAAATTCAAATAAGCTTAAGCCTTACCTGATAGTCTGGTTTTAAACTGACCCCATAATTGTGCCTTTATACTCCTTCCCCACTCTGTGCAAAATCTACATTGTCAGGAAATCTAAAGTCCTTATCTAATTACCATATTCAATCTGGAATAAGTAATAGCATGTACTTGGGAACTTGCACTCAATTCACCTTCTTAAAGTAAACCAATCTTTTTTTTTTTCTGAAACATAACTCTAGTAAGAAAATAGATCTCCACTGACCTCGCATTCGTCAGTATTCTCTAGAGTAGTAGAACCAAGAGGACATAGATATGGAAGGAGAATTGTTTATGAATTTGGTTCTCAAAATTGTGGGATCACTGTAGCAGTGTAGCACTGTCCTCCAGTTGTTCATCTATTTCCTCAAGCGGGCACCAGTAAAGTCTCCATCGTGAGATTTGTTGTTACTGTTTTTGACATTGAATACAGCACAGGGAGCTTGCCAGGCTCTGCTGTGCAGGCAGGATACTCTCAGTAGCTTGCCGGACTCTCCGAGAGGGACAGAGGAATCGAACCTGGGTCGGCCTCATGCAAGGCAAGTGTCCTACGCTCTATGCTATCACTCCAGCCCATGTGGGACCACAAAGTTTGAAATCTTTAGGGCAGGCAGGCTGGAAACTAAGCAGCATCATTCTGGAGTCTTTCTTTTAAGGGGAGTGATGTATTTTTTTCACATTGGCAATGTTCAGGGGTTACTCCTGGCTCTATGCTCAGGGATCACTCCTGGTAGGTAGGATTCAGGGGATTGAACCCAGATCATCCACATGAAAAGGCAAGGTGCCTTACCTGCTATACTACCTCTCCAGTCCCCGGAGTCTTAAGGCAGAATTTCTTCTCTCATCTTGGTTTTTGTTCTTAAATGGTTAATGATGTTTTTCTGTTCCGTTTTTGCGGTGTTAGAGCTCAATGCTGGGGCTTTACAGGCATGATGCATATGTGGCTCTACTGCTGAACCATATCTTCAGTCACTGTCTATTCTTTCGAACTTTCTTATTTACTGTTTACTAATGTACATTCCTAAATCTAATTTTCAACAAGATTCTAAAAATAGACACTCCTCTTAAAAATAGAGGAGACTGGTGGCCAGGGTGATAGCCAAAGAGCTTCTGCATACATGTTTTATATGCAGAAAGCCTGGTCGAAATCTTTCATACCATCAGGTTCCCCTAACATCACTGGAAGTAACATGCAAAGCACTGAGCCAGAAGAAGCTGCATGTGGCCCCCAGAAAATTGGGATCTTTCAAATGAATTAACTCATCTTTTGTTCTTTCTGAAGTCACGTATCACACTAATAATATAAAACTATTGAGTACATAAGACAGAAAGTTCACTTTTAACAAATGGTAATAAAATAATCATTGTCTATTTCTCCATAGAACTACTTTCTTCTTTCTTCTTCTATGGATAAAACAGTCAGGTTGTGGCATATTTCCAGAAGAGAATGTCTTTGCTGCTTTCAACATATAGATTTTGTTACTGCTATAGCTTTCCATCCAAGGGTAAGTAATTGTTTATACAATTATAGGTAATTATTTATACAATTGTTAATATATAAGGAAAGTGAGAGAACCTGTTTTTTCTGATGTGAAGTTGGGCTACATAGAAGAAGAAATTAACAGCCACACAGTCACATGCAGCTATGTTTTAATATTCTTTGTTGTCAGTAGAGATAGTTCTAAGGGCCAAAGTATATGTTTTGCACGTGGAAGATCTGGATTTCATCCCCAGAACCACATAGACCTCCCAGGTTTTTCAGGTATGATCCTCGAGCATCAATGTGCCCCCTCAAATTTTTTAAATTATGATTTCATTTTGCTTTTAAAATGTTAAAGGAGGGGCCAGAGCTTATCACTGGGTAGGGCATTTGCCTTGTACATGGATGACCCGGCTTCAATCCCCAGCATCCCATACGGTCCCCCAAGCTCTGCCAGAAGCAATTTCTGAGTGCAGTCAGGAGTAACCCCTGAGCATTGTTGATGAGGCCCAAAAAGCAAAAATAAAATAAAATAAAATGTTAAAGGAGGGGCCAGAGACATGGTACGGGAGGTAGAGAACTTTGCATGCAGCTGTCCCTAGTTTATTCTCCAGCACTGCATATGGTTTACTGAGACCCACTAGGAGTCACTTATGAGCACATAGCCAGAGCAAGCCCCCCAGATGACCAAAAGGTAGAGGATAGGGAAGGAGGGAGGTAGAGGGAAAAGGAAAGAACAGGACATGTGGCTCAAGTGGGAATAAATTACTAAGTGGGAATAAATTACTTTGCATTCTGATGCTCTGAATTTGAACCCTGATACTGCATGTACGTAAGCACCACTGGGTGTGAACTCCCAAAGTTTTTGTGAAAAGAAATAACTTTGCGAATATGTATTAGAAGAAATGTAAACATCATGGTCTAAATATAATAGTAAAAGACCATCACAAAGCTGTCAGACTGCACAGTGTAAATAAAAAATAAAGCATTACATTCAAGATGAAAGTACTGAAGATAAACAAAGGAAGAAATGGATATATGATAAAGGAATGTATGTAGCCAGGAATCATGAGAAGTGAAGATATGAGGGAAATAAGGTAATGAGAAGATCAAATTCCATTAAAATACCTATTTATTCCTTTATGTCTATAGATAATTGTTAATTTAGAGATCCTTTCTTAGATTTTCTTTATTCAGGGGCTCTTAAACAATGCTCTAGAGACCTCTCCCAGCACGATTATCAGCCAACAGGGCCCAAGGACACATGGCTACCTGGTTCTGCATCATTGCTGGAGGTTATATCATGCAATCTGGTGGTGCCACACCCAGTGGTGTTTGGGAAGACTATGTGTTACTGGGGATGAGCCAGAGTCATCTTCATGCCAGGCATGTCCCTTAACCCCTAAAGAATTTTTGGTCCACATATTCTCAGTATGGAAAAGCTTTTAATAATTTTCCTTTGAAAATAAATATTTCACTATTTCACATGATTTCAACTGAAATAACTGCAAAATAGTACCCTTATAAAATAGTCAACAAATGCATATATCTGGGGCCTGATAGATAACTCAGCAGACTTGAGCACATGCTTTGCATGTGGGAAGCCCAGTTTTGATCCCCACCACAGGCATATGGTTCCCCCACATACTGAGCAGGAAGTAGCCCCTGATCACTGCCAGATGTGGTGTCAAAAAAACAAAACAAAAAAAAACAGACTAAATTTTGGGTAGTTCTTTATAACTGTAAACTCAAGGGAAAATTTACGCTAATGCTCACCATTAGCCCGGGTGAAGGATTGGAGGACTTGCACTGGCTGACCCTATATTCACATTCCCTCTCCTACAATAAAGAATTTCTAATCATGTCTTCTCTATATTTTTAACAACCACTGTTATTTTAATCTAACAATTTCATTATATTCACATTTCTTCCCGTTTTATTCCAAGACTAAGCATAAAAAATGCCCTTTTTCTCAATATTGTTTGCTTCCCTAGGAAGGCTAATAGTAATAATTCTGACTCCCTGACTCCCAGGGAGACTTGGTTAAGTGAGCAGGGAATGATTTAGCTTTTAATATTTTTACCAGTTAATTTTCATTTTAATTAATTTTAATGAATTTAAATTAATTTTCATTGATTTTTAAATTAGGCTGGAGCAATAGCACAGTGGTAGGGCATTTGCCTTGTGCACAGCTGGCCCAGCTGAGCTGGGTTCAATTCCTCTGCCCCTCTCGGAGAGCCTGGCAAGCTACCGAGAGTATCTCGCCCGCACGGCAAAGCATGGCAAGCTACCTGTGACGTATTTAATATGCCAAACACAGTAACAACAAGTCTTACAATGGAGACATTACTGGGCCCACTCGAGCAAATCGATGAACAAACAACAGGAGGACAGTGCAGTGCAGATTTTTAAATTTATTTAATTTTTAATTATTGCTCCCGAGCTATTTTAACTTGAATTCTAATGTTATAAAAAGTAGAACAATTTAGTGATAAGCATGGTTTAGTTTATTAGAATAAGGTTTCTCAACTTTAACATTGTTAACATTTTAGGTTGGATAAATCATTGATGTAAAGGTAGTTTGCCCTGTGTTTAACAGCATTTTTAGTCTCTAGCCACTAGATGCCAGTAGTACTCCATCCTCCAGTGTGACCATCAAAAACGAATCCAGATGTTTCTAGATATATCACCTTTCCTCTGGTGAGAACTTCTGATTAGAGATTGAAAATATGAATAGTGGAATAACATGTTGCTGATACAGTATCAGTTTATCCAAAAAATGGCTAGTTCTGGTCTGGGGATAGAGCTTAAAGTGGTAGAGTACATGTTTAGCATGTTAAGGCCCTGAATTTTATTCCCCGCTTCTCATGAGATGCTTAGGACCACCAACACAGGCTGAGCTCTGTCAGGTTTTGCCCCTATTTTTGTATGATTCATTCTGCAAGCTACCTCTGTTTTTTGCACTTGGCAGGAGGGGAGGAATTTAACCTAAGACCTCACACTTGTGAAGCATGTGCTCTTACCACAGAGTTACAGTCCCAGTCCCTGGCATTTATCTTTTATCCAACTGTTACCCTGTAGGAAGGTATGGCAAAAGTATCTAGAGGCTAGTGTTTCCCAAGCATGTTGTTTGAAGGTACCAACCCTGCTAGACATTCCTACCTGTTCCCCAGTTCCCCAGGCCTAAATCCATAATTAGGTAAGTTGGAAAACAATATCTCATTACCATTTGGGTAGTTCACTGTGGTAACTAGAAACCCTATTTAACAACCCTATTTAACAAGAACAAAAGTGTCTAGAAGCTAGTGTTTCCCAAGCATGTTGCTTGAAGGTACCAACCCTGCTAGACATTCCTACCTGTTCCCCAGTTCCTCAGGCCTAAATCCATATTTAGGTAAGTTGGAAAACAATATCTCATTACCATTTGGGTAGTTCACTGTGGTAACTAGGAACCCTATTTAACTTTCTGTAACACAGAATTTCTCAAACTTAATTTGATCACAGAACGCTTCAACTATACATTGTTAACTTATACCTTGAGATAAGCAGGTAAAGATATGACAGAGTGCTTTGAAAGTCACTTCTGCAAAATGAATACTGCAGTTTCTCTTTGGGGGATCCGAAGGCCATATCAAGTGGGGTCATATCAAGTGGTGTTCAGGGACTACTCCTGGCTGTGTGCTCAAGGAACCATGCCATCCCCATGCATGTTGAGCTATCACTCTGGTCCTCATTGTTAATTTTCATGTAAAAAGTAATGCTTGCTTGAAGAATGCATTAGTACTTCTAGTATAAAATCTACCTGTATTAACCATTATTTCTAATAGACTTAATGCCCTGTTTTGCTCTATTAAGATTTTCTTATTTGGTGAAATATCTGCTTTCTCTTTTGCCACATTTTTAGGATGACAGGTATTTTCTAAGTGGATCTTTGGATGGAAAGCTTCGCCTTTGGAACATACCTGACAAAAAAGTGGCTTTATGGAATGAAGTAGATGGTCAAACAAAATTGATCACAGCTGCAAATTTCTGTCAGAATGGCAAATATGCAGTGATTGGAACATATGATGGCAGGTGTATTTTCTATGACACTGAGGTAAACACCATATTACTATGTGTAAATTACATAGTTGAGAATACTTAGTAATAATACATTTTACAGAAGATGATTTTGGTTTGGAAAAAGTTGATACACACTGTCTGGGTTTTAACTTCCTTTTCCATAAATTTGGGCAAGTAATATCATATGTTCCTGTAAACTGATCTTTATGATTCCTTCTAATTCTGGTATTTGTGTGATTTCTTTTTAGCATCTGAAATATCACACACAAATACACGTCCGATCTACCAGAGGACGCAATAAAGTTGGAAGAAAAATTACTGGCATTGAGCCTTTACCTGGAGAAAATAAGGTGACAAGTTTTTGGTTTGGGTTGTTGTTGTTGTTGTTGTTGTTACTTTTACCTTTGATTTTTCATGGGCCCACCCCAGTGATGTTAAGAGTCATGAGAGGTACTCAGGTGGTACTCAGGAGACCTGGGTCTTGTGCATAATATGCATACACTCCAACACCTTGAGCTATTGCCAGCCCACCTCTCTGTATTTATTTATTTTAATCCTTTTTTGTATTAGCCACCATGAAGTTACAAGTTATTCATGATTGGGTTTCAGACATACATTGTTTCAACACCAATCCCTTCATCATTGCCCACTTCCCTCCATTAACTTTCCCTCCTCACCCCCTCTTTGCCTCCCACCCACAATTCTCCACCTATGCACTGTTCATCGATTTGCTTGAGTGAGCACCAGTAATGTCTCCATTGTGAGACTTATTGTTACTGTTTTTAGCATATCGAATATGCCACGGGGAGCTTGCCAGGCTCTGCTATGCGGGCGGGATACTCTCGGTAGCTTGCTGGGCTCTTTGAGAGGGATAGAGGAATAGAACCCGGGTCGACCACGTGCAAGAAAAACGCCCTACCTGCTGTACTATTGCTCCAGTTCCTGCCCCTATGAGGAGCACTTTTTTAAAATATGTAAGATTTTCACTGTGTTTTACTGCATTGTTGCTGACAGGGTTTCATATGTAACACGTTACCACTTTCCAGCACCACCTCTTCCTTCCATTTGATCTTCTTTCCATTATAGTTATTGCTCCCTGCTTTTTCTTCACCCAGCCCCCTCACGCGGTATATTTCCTGCTGATTCCCAGTTCTCGTGTTCTTTTTTTCCGTTGTCATGGGGAATTCATTATTTGCCCATTTTTTCCTTATACTCCACATATGATTGAGATCATTCTGTGTAGGTCTCTCCCTGTGACTAACTTAATGATACTTTCCAGGTTCCTCCATGTAGCAGCAAATTGCATGACTTTATCATTTCTTTTGACTGAGTAATATTCCATTTTACCATAGTTTCTTTATCCAGCCATGTATTCTTGCACTGTTGGGTTATTACCAGATTTTGGCTATTGTGGCTAATGCTGAAAGGAATATAGGAGGGCAACTGATTTTTCTCCATTTTGTTTTTGGACCCTTGGGGTCTATTCCAAGAAGTGGTTTTGCTGAGTCTAATGGGAGCTCAATTCCTAGACTTTTTAGGAATGTCATAATGTTTTCCCAAAAGGCTGGACCAATTGACATTCACACCACAGTGAATAAGAGTCCCTTTCTCCTCTCATCCACTCTAGCACTGGTTGTTCTTGTTCTTTTTGATGTATGCCAGTCTCTGAGGTGTGAGATGATACCTCATTGTTTTTTTTTTATATCTCCCTGATGGTTAGTGATGTCGAGCCTTATTTCACATGCCTTTTGGCCATTCATACATCTTCTTTGAGGACATTGCTATTCATTTCTTCTCCCCATTTTTTGATGGGATTGGATTTTTTTCTTGTAAAGTTCTATCAGTACCTTGTATATCTTAGATATTAACCTTTATAGGATGACTGTTGAATAAATAGGTTCACCCATTCTGCGGGCTGTCTTTGTATTCTGATTTTTGTTTCTTTGAGGTGCAGAAGTTTCTTGATTTAACATAATCCAATTTGTTTATCTTTGCTTCCACTTAGTAGTGTTTCACCCTTGAAGTTGGTTCTAGCTTCCATGTCTTGGAGAGTTCTGTGTACATTTTCCTTTATATACCTTATGGTTTCAGGATTGATATCAAGGTCTCTAATCCATTTTGATTTGATTTTTGTTCATTGCGTTGAGAGATCTCAGTTCAGATTTTTGCATGTAGCTTACCCATGTAGATTACAGTTTTCCCAGTACCACTTATTGAAGAGGCTTTCCTTGCTCCACTTTATGTTTTTTGCTCCTTTATAGAAGGGTAACTGGTCACATACCTTATATCTTGGGATATTCAACTCTATTCCATTGATCTGCGGGCCTGTCTTTATTCCACTATCATGCTATTTTAATTAATACCACTTTGTAGTACAGTTTGAAGTTGAGGAAAGTGATACCTCCCATCTTATTTTCCCAAGGATTTCTTTAACTATTTGGAGTTTAGGATTATTGTTCCATATGAATTTCAGGAGTGTTTGATCTGTTTCTTTGAAAAATGTCATGGGTATCCTAAGGGATTGCATTGAATCTGCACAGTACTTTGGGGAGTATTGCCATTTTGACAGTGTTATTCCTCCCAATCCACGAGCAGGGAATGTGTTTCCATTTCCTTGTGCCCTCTTTTATTTCTTGAAGTAATGTTTTGTAATTTTCATTGTATAATTCCTTTACCTCTTTAGTTAAGCGGATTACGATTTACTTGGTTTTCTGAGGTATAGATGTGAATGGGATTATTTTTTTAAATACTCCCTCTTCTATTTTATTTGCATAAAGGAAAGCCACAGACTTTTTCATATTAATTTTTTAGCCTGTCACTTTACTATTGTTTCTTCAAGCTTCTGTAGAGTCTTTAGAATTTTATAAATACAGTGTCATCCACAAAAAGTGAGAGCTTGAATTCTTCCTTTCCTATCTGGATGTTCTTAATATCTTTTTTCTTGCCTAATTGCTATGATGAGTACTTCCAGTACTATATTGAATAGAAGTGACAAGAATAGGCAAGTTGTCTTTGCTTGATCTTAGAGGGACGGCTTTTAGTATTTCCCCATTGAGTATAATATTTGTGGTAAATGGCTTTGACAATGTTCAGGAAAGTTCCATCAATACCCATTTTGCTGAGAGTTTTTTTATGAATAGATATTGGATCTAATCAAATACGCTCTCTACATCTACTGATATGATCATATAGATTTTATTTTTCTTATATTGATGTGGCAAATTACATTGATAGACTTGTGTATGTTAAAACCATTCTTGCATTCCCAGGATGAATCCCACTTTGTCATTTTTAGTATATGATTTTTTGGTGAATTGTTGAATTCTATTTGTTAGGATTTTGATGAGTATCTTTGCATCTGTGTTCATCACTGTAATTTTTTTTGTGCTGTCTCTGTCTGCTTTTGATTGGGGTGATGTTTGCTTCATGGAAATTATTTGGGGGTACTTGTGTTTCTTCAGTTTCCTGGAGGACCCTGTATAGAATTGGCAGTAGGTAATCTTTTTTTTTTCTAATTTTTTTTATTAGTGAAACACCATGAGGTACAGTTGTAGATTTACAATTTTTTGTGCTTGGGTTTCGATTATACAATGATCAAATACCCATCCCTCCACCAGTGACCATTTTCCACCACCATGGATAATATCCCCCCACCCCCATCCCCCCCATCCCACCCTGCCTCTATGGCAGGGCAATCCCATGTGTTCTCTCTCTTCTTTTGGGTGTTGTGGTCTGCAAAAGAGGCATTGAGTGGCAAACATGTTCAGTCCATAGTCTACTTTCGACATGCATCTCCCCTCCTGGGAGGATCCTCCAAACACCCTTTATTTGGTGCTCCCTTCTCTATCTGAGCTGCCCTTTCCCCTAGAATGCCCAGCTGGCCTCTAAGCTATGGAGTAATCCTCCTGGTGCTGATCTCAGTTATTCTTGGGTACTAATCTCATACTTTGTTACTTTATATCCCCCAGATGAATGCAATCTTTCTATGTCTATCCCTCTCTTTCTGACTCATTTCGCTTAGCATGATACTTTCCATGTTGTACCACTTGTATGTAAATTTCATGACTTCATCTTTTCTAACAGCTACATAGTACTCCATTGTGTAGATGTACCAAAGTTTCTTTAACCAATCATCTGTTCTTGGGCATTCAGGTTTCTTCCAGTTTCTGGCTATTGTAAAGAGTGCTGCAATGAACAAACAAGTGCAGATGTCACTTCGACTATACATTTTTGCCTCTCTGGGATATATTCCCAGGAGTGGTATTGCTGGGTCAAATGGGAGCTCAATTTCTAATTTTTTTGAGAATCGTCCATACTGTTTTCCAGAAGGGCTGAACCAGTCGACATTCCCACCAACAGTGAAGGAGTGCTCCTTTCTCGCCACATCCGTGCCAGCATCAGTTGCTTTTGTTCTTTTGAATGTGGGTCAGTCTCTGAGGTGTGAGATGGTATCTCATTGTGGTTTTGATCTGCATCTCCCTGATGATTAATGATGTAGAGCATTTTCTCTTGTGCTTTTTTGCCATTCGGATTTCTTCTTTGAGAAAGTTTCTGTCCATTTCATTGCCCCATTTTTGGATGGGGTTGGATGTTTTCTTCTTGTGGAGTTCAACCAGTACTTTATATATCCTCGATATCAACCCCTTGTCAGATGTGTATTCGGCGAATATCCTTTCCCATTCTGTAGAGGCAGTAGGTAATCTTTAAATGTTTGAAAGAGGGCTGAAGCGATAGCACAGCGGGTAGGATGTTTGCCTTGCACGCGGCCGACCTGGGTTCAATCCCCGGAATCCCATATGGTCCCCCAAGCACCGCCAGGAGTAATACCTGAGTGCAGAGCCAGGAATAACCCCTGAGCATCACTGGGTATGACCCAAAAAGCAAAACAAAATGTTTGAAAGAACTCAGTAGTGAATACTTCTGGGGTTTTGTTTGGGGGAAGACTTTTGATTACCTTTTAAATTCCCTTGATCATGATAGGTCTGTTCAGGTATTCCAAATCATGTTGGCTAAGCCTTTGGATGCTATAGCAGACCCAGAATTTATCCATGACTTCTAGGTTCTCTCATTTCATGACATAGAAATTCTCAAAGTAATCTCTGATGGTCCTTTTGACTTCTGTTGTGATACCTGTTGTGGTTTCTCTCATTTCTGTTTTGGTTTATTAGGATTCTCTTGCTTTTTTGTGAGCCTCGCTAGTAGTTTATCAATCTTGTTTACTTTTTTAAAGAACTAGCTCTTAGTTTTGTTAAACATTTTGTTCTTCTAAATTCATGTTCATTAATTTCTGCTCTGACTTTCATTATATTTTTCCTTCTGACTACTTTGGGCTCCTTTTGTTGGTCATTTTCCAGATTGTTCAGTTATATGGTTAAGTTATTTATGTGGGCCCTTTATTCCTTCCTGATGAATGTTTGCATGTTATGAACTTTCCTCTTTTTGTGTGTGTTTTGGTTCAAACCCGGCATTGCTCAGGGGTTTCTCCTGGCTCTGCACTCATAAGTTATCCCTAACAGTGCTCAGGGGGACCATATGGGATGCCGGGGATGAAACCCAGGTTGGCCACATGGAAGGCAAATGCCCTTCCCAGTGTACTACCACTCTGGCCCCATGAACTTTCCTCTTACACTGCTTTGACTGTGTCCCACACATTTTGGTAACTGCATGCAATATTTAGGCTCCTAGAAGTTCTTTATACCTTGGTTAAGAATATATGTTCCTATGGACTAATGATTTTTCTAGTTTTGAAGCCTTTCTTTGTATCTGTAACACCTTTGTTGGTTCTACCTTAACTTAGAATAAAAATTCTATTTTTAATTTGTGTTTTATTCATTTTTAGATACTGGTAACCTCAAATGATTCCAGAATTAGACTGTATGATCTTAGAGATTTGTCCCTTTCTATGAAATATAAAGGCTATGTCAACAGCAGCAGCCAGATCAAAGCAAGTTTCAGGTAAACTGGCAAAGAGAAATCTCCAAGACATCAAAGTAATTCTCCTCTACTCCAGATTTTCCATTGATGTATGCCTTATGTTATATGATGTTTTTAGTTTCTTTTCACTTTTGGAATTGATATCTTAACATTATGAAATACCATATCTGCCTATAAGGGAGGTAGAAGTTGAGTCACCCACACAGTGCAGAAACCAAGACCCAAAAAGTTAATTAATTTGCCTCAGGTTGCAGCATCAAGATTAGAAAATTCCTGGCTTAAATGTGTGCTTTTGTACTTTGCTGTAAGCATTTATTTGGTGGGATGGGAGAATGGTTTGTGGGCTGCGTTCATTACTGCTTGGGGACTGGGCTGGGCTCTGTAAGCTTTTTAAGATAAGGTTTACTTCCTATTCACCCACATGGTCTTCATCCTTTTAGGTTTAGAAGCTAGTAAAGCATTTGAACATCCTAAATTACAACATTCTATATCTGTACATATTGTTATTTGAACTCCTGATTTGGGGTCTGGAAGTTCTGAAATACCCACCTTTCTTTACCCCTAACCCCCTTTCTATCATACTTTTTCTTATCAGGTCTCTTTTCCTTTTGAGTAACCCAGTACTTAGTAATTTACCTGGTAAAATACTCTATTTCTCTCTTTGATATCTTAAGTAGGCATTCTTCACAGCATAGGTTAACCAGTAGTACAGTTATCTAGAGCTTTGGTAAAAATAATGATGACTCTAGCCCCTGTGTCAGACCAAACTGTGTTGAGACTAGGAGGTCTGTCTCACAACAAGCTCCCTTGGGTGTTTCCTTAAGTCTTTTAAAGTAGGAAGCTTTCATAGAGGGAATTCTACAAATAACCAGACCCTGATTTTTTCTTCCTTTCTTTTCCAAATTTAGTCATGATTTTAGTTACATTGTTAGTGGCTCTGAAGATAAGTATGTTTATATTTGGAGTACTTACCATGATTTAAGCAAGTTTACTTCAGTCAGGAGAGATCGCAATGACTTTTGGGAAGGTATTAAAGGTAAGTAAATGCCTCCTTTTGTGATTCTTACACATGAGTAAAGTTAGAGATATACAAGAATTAAATTTGTATAGGCATTGTTTCAGAAAGACACTTTCACAGTTATAACTGCTTCTTTCTGATATCTGATTTAAGTTTTCTGTACCCAAGAAGAACTTAACAGTTCTTTAAAACTTGAGAAGTCATAGAATGTCAGAACTTGTATGTAGTATGTTATTGTTGTTGTTGTTGTTGTTTTACTAAGAAAGTATTTTGGCAGGGCTAGAGAAGACAGTTCAAAGGTCTGAAGCTGAAGTATATGTCTGACATGTGGAGGCCCTGATTTTGATCTCTAGCATATCATAGAGCACCTTCAGTATGTTGCTGGTAACTGCCAGCACCACCAGCCCAAGCAGCACCACATTGCTGGGCCTTGCATAGAGACTTCTAAACCGCATAACCAGACCAAGGTCACCATGAGTCACCTCAGGGTCCCCTGGCACTGCTAAGGAAGTCCAAAAAGAAAAAAAGAAAATACGTTACTTGGTTCTGTATATGCTAATTCTAAAACCTATTTGAAATATGATTTACGTGTGTACTTTTTTTGTACTACACTTTTTATCTTGATGTTTAGGATTCAGTTTATTAGTTATCCTAACATAGAATTTTTTTTCTCTAGCACATAATGCAGTTGTCACATCAGCCATCTTTGCTCCAAACCCAAGTTTGATGTTGTCTTTGGATGTGCAATCTGAAAAACCAGAAGGGAGTGAGAAAAGTGAAATTGCTGAAGCTTTGGATGCCATGCCTTCTGGTAGGTATTCATATTTTGTTCCTCCTACCTTTTTTCTCATCAGCGCTTAGTGGCATCATTGACTCATTATGGGCGTTCTGAAATTCTCATGAATATGGGAAATGTTTGTTTACAACATAATATTTAACAAATGTGTTTCTGAATATTTCTAAAACATTTCTTCTAAGTTTTAATTCTTTTAAATTCATATGGGAGAGGCTGGAGTAATAGTACAGCAGATAGTTTTTTGCCTTGCAAACAACCTACCCAGATTCCATCCCTGACACATAGGATTCCCCCACACCCACCAGGCGTAAGCTTCAGCACAGAGACAGGAGTAAGCCCTGAGCACTGCCAGATGTCACCCAAAACCTAAAAAAAAATTAATTAAAAATAATAAATTCACATGGGAACTAAAAATAACTTTGGGGCTGAGAGTTACTATAATAGGTAGGGCGCTTGCCTCATATGCCTAACCTGGATTCGATTCCTCAGGGAACTGCATGGTCCTCTGAGCATCTTCGGTTGCATCCCTGGGGACACCCAGCAGTGCCAGGTTAGCTCAGATACTCCCAGCGCTATGGTGCCCAAGCATTATCTCATACTCACACTCTTGTATTGAACTATGGGCCTGGTTGGCTGAGAGTTGCTAAGGGGCACTGAGCCTCCTTAGAAGAACTTGAGAGTCTCACCACCGGAAAAAGAAAGCCTTGAAAGGTTCATGGTTTTATTTTTATGAGCATTCTCCTTAGACAAGCACAAGTAAGACATACAAGCACAAAGTTTATTTTCTGTGTCCTCAACTAGTCTGCATGCAATCACTATGAGAACAGACTTTGTGTTATTTATTGTTGAAGTGTTTGGGCCTACTATGGTGCTTGTCTGCATATAGTAGATGTTTAGTAAAGAATTGTTGAATAAATAAGTTAAATCAAAAAGAAAGCAATATTCTTTTCTACTTGTCATAAATTTCAAAATAGGTAGCTATTTACAGGCCTGTACTTTCTTGCTATTTGCAACATATGTTTTGGAGAATGACTAGTAATTCTAGTTATATAAAATACTAATTATGTAAATAGGAAGAGAAAAGAAACCATCAGCAACTGGTATTGAATGCTACTTATATCAAAAGGGCCCTCTTGTCCTTAAGAATTTGAAACAGGGTCCGGCAAAATAGCACAGTGAGTAGGGTGCTTACCTTGCATGTGACCTCCCCCAGTTCATTTTGCCCCCCAAGCACCGCCAGGGGGTGGTGCTCCTGATACTTTCCTGAGCACAGAGCCGGGAGTAACCCCTGAGTAAATCCTTGGCCAACCCCAGTTCATTTGGTTCAACCCCCCAGCACCACCAGGGGGTGGTGGTCTTGAGTACGCATCCCCGAGTACAGAGCCAAGAATAACCCCTGAGCATTGCCAGATATCACCCAAAAACAAACAACAAAAATAATTTTAACCATCTGAATCAGTTATTAATGAAAACAAGTTTATGTTATTGAAACCAAGAACAAAAGAGTATATTACATTTTACTCTAAAAACTGTAACCAGGCCGTTCAGGGAGTTGTGAAGCCACAAAAGATACAATGCACAAAGGTTGCTTCTGAAATATTTTAATGCTTTAAAGTTCTCAAGTATTTTTATTTTCTTTAATCCAAAGTGATTTCCCTTATGGTATAATTTGGGCTATACACTAAATTATGATATTCTATCTATGAAACAAACTTTTTAACAAAGATGAACTTCAGTCCCACAATTTTTCATTTAAAAGATCTTAAAAGTAAACTGATTCAGCCTTATGTGCCATCCCACAAGCACAAATACACACACAACACACACACACAGTGAAACCTATGAAGCCTTTTCAAAATACCTATTTGTAAATAATTTCTTTTCATTGTCTTTTTTATCAGATAAAGCAAACTTCTTTTAATTTAAGGCATTCCCCCCACACTCTGTATTGTATTTGCGTACTATACATATTACCCTACACATTCCACAGAAAATTCTAGATTTTAAAACAACCTGAGAAAACATTGAGAAGCTTTTTTAATTTTTTTATTTTAATGAATCATCATGAGATATATTTACAGATTTTTAGACTTTTGTGATTGTGTTTCAGTCAAACAATGTTTAAGTACCCATCTCTCCACCAGTGCCCATTCTCCACCCCCAATGTTTAGAAGCTTTTCTTTAACAGTGCTAAAAATCAAATCCAGGACCCCACACAATGCAGAGCACAAATTCTTCTACTGAGCCACATTCCTAGTGCCAAAGTAAAGTTTTTAATTTTCTCCAAAACTGTCCACATACTTGGTTCAGTTAATCTGCCAGTTCTCTTTTTAATTTAAACACCAGACTGGGGATAAGTAAGGTAGGTGTTCTTCTACAACTCAGACCGTCATTGGGCACTTTTAAAAAAGCACAACTTTTGATAATCATACTCAGATATGTGTTTGCTCTATATATGTATGTATGTATGATTAAAGAATTTTTAGAATAGACCCTAAAACCCATGGCACGTGGTCATAAATTACATTTTCTCTCTCTCTCTTTTCTCTTTTCCCAGTATAAAATGGTGATAGTACCGACTTTACAAGATTGTGATGAGAATTAAAAATAGGAGCCTCAGAGAGAAGAATTGAATTATAGGTTAATAGGATTACAGCAACTAACCTGAAAATCAGAGACAACAGTTAGAGAAGTGATCTTCCACCTTAAAGCAGGAGATCGAAGGGGGGAAATCATCCCCCTAACCAAAACCCTAGGGTCCTGATAGTGCTCTGGGCAAAACAGTTTGGGTCTTTTAGGGTATAGTAGGGCATCAAATGTGGAAGGGATATAATAAGACACAGGACAACATAGGCAAAAATACTATAGGAAATTGTCATGACTATGCTTTAAAGTGTGCCTACTAATTGGTTATTTGAAATATTCCAGCCTCTGCTCTTAATGTATCTACTGAATTTTGATGTGCTTACTGTTCTTAATGTGTCTGTCAGCTTAAATAATGTCTCAGGTATTGAGAGCCAGGATTAGGGAGTGATACTGAATTGAATAAATGATCAGTTTGTCTGTAACTTCAGTCAGGGCTTCCCAGCTTGACCCCAAAGCTTGGACAGGCCTTATGTGCTTGTTTGTCTCGTTCTCTGAGACAGACTCCAGTGGGGTCAGGGTCTAAGATGCCTATCTTACTGGCTTTATTGTGGTAAATTGCCACTTGTGCACATGTGACAGTTGGCAGGCTTCTTATTTATCTTTAAAGTCAACTAAGACCTTTTTTTTTTTTGCTTTTAAGGTATTATGAAGACAGATAACACGGAAGTTCTTCTTTCTGCTGACTTCACTGGAGCAATCAAAGTGTTTATTAACAAAAGGAAAAATGTATCTTAGTTTGAAATAACATTTAAAATAAACATAACAGTAAGTTTCTATATGTATAAGAGCTGAGAAAAATATAGTGTTTCTGGCTAACATCTTTTTTTAATTTTTATTGAAGTTGTTCAAATATAATATATTTTTGAGAGGCAGTGTTAACAATCTAGTAAACCCTAGACAGATAGGCTAGAAGAGAATGTGGCTAGAATAACATTGCCAGACATTAAGCTTTACATTTTATTATGTTTGTGTTTTTGTTATATAATTATAAACATGCACAAGTTTCTGCATGAAAATATATTAATATATTAATCTTATGTGTGTGCCTTTTGGTTACATGCACTAAATCTAACAGAGTTAAATTATTTCAGTGGCTCTTTCGGCCTCTTATTGGGGGAGAGTTTCTAGCTTAAACAATTTCTTTTGCACAAAATTTCATTTTTAAGAAATGTGGTATCTTTTGACTGAGTTATTATTTTGAAAATGTTATATAGGTTTTCAATAGGTCAACAACCATGTGTAAATGGTTTTTATAAATTTCTCAATTTTGGGGATAAGATTTTTTTTTGTGGTCTAAATTGTGGACTTCAGATTTTTTTCTTTGTATGTGTATATATAATTTTTTTGCCACACTGGAGCACAATGTTTCTATGTAAAGAATTCTTTTCATTCTTTATCCATGAGCACCAGGCTTTGCTCAGTTTAAAAAAATTAAGCCGCATTAAGGAGTGAGTCTTCTTTTTTACAATAATGTAAAAATGAACTGTTTACATTTTTTTAAAGCATTGTAGTTTTAAAAAATTAAGCTGTTTTGTTTTGTGTTGTTAAATTTGAAAGCCTTTGTAAATATTGATATAATGTACCAATGAAATAACATCTGGGGCAATGGAACCCAGATTATGTTGTTGATGGTTAGCATATGTTTCTGAAAATTAAAGATGTATTATTAAAAGTTGGTTGCCAACACTTGTTAAACATGTGACTTTATTTTCAAATGACTTTGGTAGATTGAAGAATATAAGAAAAATAAAGTCTTATTTAATCATTTGATTTTAAACAAGCAGAGGATTTTGGACACCATATTACAAGGCATTCTAAATAAATCTTTGAGAAAAAATATGTTTTGGCACCACCAGAAAGATAGTACAGTGGGTAAGGCACTTGCCTTACATATGTCCAACCTGTGTTTGATCCCCAGCATCCCATATGGGCCCCCAAGTACTGCAGGAGTGTTTCCTGAGCTCAGAGCCAGTAGTAGCCCGTGAACAATGCCAGGTATAGCCCCCAAACCAAAAACAAAGAACTATGTTTTATTCTAGTTGTAGAATAAACTCTACTAAGAATTCATCCATATGCTTAAGTGATATTTACCATATTTGCTTTCAGTATGTGAAAAACTGGAGAGCTACAATTATATCTTTGGCAGTGATGTTACAATGTTCCAGATGATCTAGTTCATTGCACTTATTTGCCCAAGTTTTACCCCTATAGTGCTTTCTTTCTCTTTCAGTGCTGTCTTCCCCTCCCTCTCTCTCATACCCTCCCCCTCTCCATATGGCTGTTCATCCTGACAGATTGAGTTGTTATACAGTTGGTTTTCTAACTAACTCCTTATAATCTTTAATCTCAAAGTCTGTATAGCAATGTGATTGATCCCTTGTTTCTGTTTTGAACTTGATGCCATTAACTCTTTGAGGCAGCTTTGCTTTCAGTGTCCCAGCGTAAGGACTTATAGTCAAATGTGGTGCTGGTTGTTAATAACTGAAAATAGCCACCATGTTGCTGTATGAGTATTTCCTAATAGATTTTATGTGGTTTCTTGAAAAAAATAGCAAAACAAATTGGGTTGAGTGGTGGAGAAATAACTCAACAGACTGGAACATAGGCTTTGCATGCAGGAAGCCCTAGTTCAATCCCTGGCACCACAAACAGTATCCAGTGACTCCTGAGTTATGCCAGGTCGGGTCCATCCCCCCATATGCTTGCTTACTCCACTTTATATATACACATATATGTATGTATATATACACATTTATATGCAATATATGCATATATATTGCAAAGTTACAAGTCAAGTCAGAAAGTTAATTTTAAAAAGGTAGCATCAGGAGGTATATAAAGAAAACCTGAGCAATAGTCCTTCCTAAAATAGGTACTAGGAATTCACTGTAATATGTGGTGGGGGGCATGCTGAAGAGATAACAAGCTCAACATGTGCTTTGCATGTGGTTCGCCCAGGTTCAATCCCTGGTGCCACATTGTCTCAAGCACTGGGAATAGCCCCTGATCACCTCCTAGTGTAGCCCGAAAACAACAATAACAAAAATATTAATAATAAGTACAAACATTAATAGTAATAACCACAAACATTCCATTCAAGTGAATAAATTAGCTTTTGAAAAAGATAACCCTATTCCTTTATTTTCCAATTTCTCCTTTGGTGAAAATTTCATTCCAAACTCTTTGTGGCAGACTGAGAGATACTGTGCTAGATGAACAAGTTGTTGTTTGCAGCTTGGGGTCCACACCCAGCAGCTTGGGGGAGCCACTCCCAACAGTGCTCCATCCAGGGACCACGTGGTGCAGAGATTGAACTCTGACCTCTCACATAGAAAGCCTGCACTTCAACCCTCAGATCCATCTTCCTAGCTTTAACTTTAAATAAAAATTTTGTGTAGATTTAATATATCATTAGTACCACTTTCACCATTATTCATGTCTTATTTTGCTAGAGCACCTTTTCTTACATGAAGGGACAGATGCGGATGTTACTATTAAACATCACACAATTCAGATTTTGTTAACTCTTACCTAATACCCTTTTTCTATTTTGGGATTTCATCTAAGTTATGGCATTATACTCCTCTTAACCTTGAAAATTTCTCATCTTCTCTATGATCTCAGCAGTTTTGTAGATTAGGTCAAATTTATTTTGTTGATTGTTTTTCAGTTTATAGTTGTCTGATATTTTTTCCCCGATTCAGCTGAGGTTAAAAACTTCTTTAGAGTAGAAGGCTATAGGTTTTTATTTTTATCACATCAAGGATATATACTATCAAGTGATTTTTCACCATGAAAAAGCTTATTTTTCCAGTTCAGAAATAGTTGGGATTATGGCACTTGAATGCTACTGACCTCAGTTTTATCCCTGGCATCACATGGCTCCTGAATATTATCAGGGGTGGCCCTGGAGTGCTATAGGGTATGGTCCCTGAGTACTCCCACAGAACCTAAGCAGCAACACATCATCTGGTATCACTTGGGAGCCTCCCTCCCTCAAAGTTAATTTCCCCCCTTTCCATAAGTGTCTAACAAGTGAATCACTAAACACAGCCCAGGTTTAATAAAGGACTCAAGAAGTATAACTTACTTGAAATTATTCCGTAAGAGGTAAGCCTCTTCTCTCCTTTATTTAGCCGTTTTTTGTTTTTATGTTAGAATGCACTTGTAGGTATTTTTCACTCTTGAGTTATAATCCACTGTTCCATATTTTGCTCAAAGTCCTTCCACCTTTAGCCCATTGAAAGTTCTTTCAAATTGACTTTGTGATCATTTAACATCTCTGTCTGTCTGTCACACTCTCTTTCACACATCTCTCTCTTCTTTCTCCCCTTTTGAGCATTCCTCCCATTCAAGATACTCTAAGCTCATCTTGTATGTTTGTTGCCCTAGCACTTATCCAAATAGCCTTTTATTCCTTTTATTGGAGAGAGTTATTACAAACCAGGATCTGCATAGTAGGGGTGCTCAGTGCTACAGAGGTATCATTTCTTTCAGGCTTTCTCAGATGATAAAGCAAAGCAATAGGGGCCAGTGTAGGGCACTTGCCTTACATGCACCTGACCAGGGTACGATCCCCATCATTCCATATAGTCCTCTAAGCCCCAACCAGGAATAATCCCTGAGCACAGAATCAGGAGTAGTCCCTGAGCACTGCTGGGTGTGTGTGACCCATAAACAAAACAAAGAAGCAGTAAATTTATGTATATTAGTCTCTGTACTATCAATATTAAATCTGGGTTCTTACTGTGTTTCTGAGTAACCCCATTAATTTGAGTATTATTCTAGTTTTCTCTTGCTTGTCATCCTCCTTTCCAACAGAAAGTAATGTGACTCCTGCCATTTACCATCCATATACTTATTCTTTTCCAACATAACATTTCAAATTTGCTAGCTCATACCCCCATGAGCATCAGCTATGCCAATTGTAGTATAGTTTTTATGTATAGTTCTTTTGGTTTATAATTACCAGTAAAAATACCATTTTATATATACTTAGGTCAGCATCTTTCCCTCGTACCCATGTTACCTTTTAATGTTAAATTCATTTGAATTATCTATCCCTCTAATAAGATACATGGGAGTTTGGTGATGTTCTTAGACATACTTAATAAGTAGGCAGCAATGTTCTTCAGTTGATAGCATTATCCTAAGCACCGTCCTATTGCTGCACTGAAATTTTACCTATTCAGCAAACCTTAAGTGCTTAGTGTCAAGACCTTGAAGGAATCTAATAGTTGAAACAGGCAAGAGTGATGTATCTTTGCGTATGGCAGTATGAAGCTGTACTCAAACTTTATAGTATGTAAGTCAACAAAGTTGGATTTTAAGAAATGGAAAAAGGGACATGTTTCTTTCCAGACTTTATATTTCATAATTGAAGGAGTGATCTTTGATTTTTTACCTTTCGATATCAGCCCATTTATTAAAATTCATAATACATATATAATCTGGAGAGATAGTACAGAAGTTAAGGAGCAGCTGACTATAATTCAATCCCCAGCACTATTTATGGTCCTGCAAAAAAACATCAGGAGTAATCCCTGAGCACTGCTTTTGGGTATGGCCCAAAACCTCAGAATTTCCAATTTATTTATGAAACACAGTTCTCGGGAATAGACCACAAGGTTGAACCCTTCCATAGGACACTCTAAAAGCTAAATCCATTGTTCGTTTCATTGATCCATGTTGTGGATCTCATAGAGAGTAGTTGTCTGATGGCCCATTACTTGGTTGTAGTGGATCAGACATTTTAAACATCTTTTTAAAAAATTATTAAAGAGCCATGATATACAAAGTTTCTGATAGTTGCATTTTAGGCATACAGTAGTGCAACACCAATCCCTCCACCAGTGTCAACTTAACCTCTACCAGTGTTCCAAGATTCCTTACCCATCCCACTCCCAATCCACCCCCATCTGTCAGCTTGACAGCACATAGCAAAGTTTCAGTAGTTGCCACTTAAATATCGTGTTTTTAGTTCTGTTGAACCTGTGTTTTGAGTAAATGGCTATACCCCTCACTCATATCACTGGTGTAACTGAAACCGTACTACCTGTTAACCTGTTATTTCTTGTTCTCTTCTTCCCCCTAGATTTCTTTCCTTCTCTGTTTCCTCTCTAAACACTGGGGTCAAAGATGATCTAAGCATCCCCCTTTTACTACAGTATATTTTCTCATCCAGTCTATATTGCACAGATAAGTGATATCATTCTGTGTTTGTCTTTTTTCTGTTTTATTTCACTCAACATGGTATCTTCAAATTCTAACCATGTTGCACAAAATGGCATGATTTTAACATTCCTTGCAGCTGCATAGTCTTCCCTTGTGTATATAAACTACATCTTCATAATCTCTTCATCTGTCATTGGACATCTAGGTTGATTTCATATCTTAGCTATTGTACTGAGTGCAGCAATAAATAATGGTGTGCTTATGGCCTGGGGATAGATGCCCCAAAGTGGAATTGCTGGGTCATATGGCATTTCAATTCTAAGTTTACTGAGGACTCTCCATACTGTTTTCCAAAGGGGTTGTACCAGACAAATTCCCACTAGAAGTGGATAAGAGTTCCTTTTTCATCATATCCCCACCAACACAGATTATTTCTGCTACTTTTGATATGTGCCATTCTCGTGATACCATAAAATTCATCCACTGAAGTGTGTAAGTCTTTTTTGTTTGTT